GTGTGCGCCGGGACCGGGCTGTGCCCGTGCCCTGCTCTGCACAGGTGTTCGTGCCGCGAGCAGCGCGGGGCTCGGGGCACTCGGATCCCTCGGGCCGGGTTTGACCCTGGGAAGGGACAGACGCTTCTTCTGTGTCACCCGCATACACTGAGCTCCCACCTGGACTTACTGCTGCATCTCCAGGAAACACTGAGGTTTTAAATCGATAATGAGCAGCAAACAGCCTCGTTCCTGTGTGTGCTCTCAGCCCTTCTGCTGCTCCTATATTTATCTGTGCCTGCTCTCGGCTCTGCCTCTCGGCTCTGCAGCCTGTAACCATGGCTGTTGCTGCCTGAGCTGCCTGGGATGGGGGTACTGTGCTCTGGGGGCTCTGTGTGAAGGCAGCAGCCCTGGCAAGGCCTTCTGGGGGGGTTTGGTTAGTCGTGCTCTGATTTCCAGTTTGTGATCTCTGCCTTGTGCCAACCCCAGGGCAGAGCCAGGGTTGGCAGCGGCTCTGGGTATCATGGGCTGAAGGTTCTGCTGTCTGGGACTTTCCCACCCCTGACATCTCTCTGTACCCCAGCGCTGCTGTCGTGTGGCTGCTGGCAGAGGAGGTGGCAGAGTGAGCCTCTGCCACACTTTGTCTTGCACAACTTGGGGAGGAGCACTCTGGGGACAGAAGGGGCTGCTCCTGGGCCTGGTGCTTAGACGTTAGTTCAGCTCTCCACATTCCCTGGATTCACATTCTCTGGATTTACAGCTTCTCTCCTGGCCCCAGAGTGGTGTGCAGGGAGCAGTGAGTGGCCTGTTAACCTCCCGACTCGGGGCCATCACTGGACACAGCCTTTAACCAGCAGCACTGACTGCAGCCTGTGATTTGCTCTTTGTGTGTTTTCCTGCCCTCGTGGTTGTTGGTGCTTTGTGTTTTGGCTCCTTTCGTGGGGTTAGTGTTGCTCTTAGCAGTAGTTTACATTGTCAGAGGAGTGGGGGTGACCGTTGCTCAGTGTTGTAGCAGCTGCAGCTGATACTGGGTGAGAAGTCTTTTCTGAAGTGCTGTTCCAGACTGGCCATGACCAGAACAGTGCACTGATTTCTCCCACATCCCTTTGGCTCAAGGGCTGGGTTGTGTTTTTGTGTGAAAAACAAAGCCCGTGCTCTGCTTTTGATCACAACTTCCCTAGGCTTCCGAGGTGGAGCCTATTGCCCTGTTAATTACTTTGGGCTTGGTACAGCAGCATTTGGAGCTTCCTTTGTCAGCAGCTATTTCAGCACAGTGTGTGAGCTCAGTGGGGTGAAAACGTGGATCAGGATACCCATGAAAGCAGCTGTCCCTGTAGACAGAAGTGTGTGTGCTGGAAACACTGGAATGGTTTTGCCCTGTCCCAGTAAAGCAGCTGAGATGGCAGATGTAGCTTTTTTGCCAGAAAGATGACAATCCTGTGTGCAGCTGCCATCAATTAACTGAAACTTGGGCTGTCTGCAGCAGGCATAGGGGAGTGGGACATCTCTGGAGATGCTGCAGAGCTGCCCCAGCACGGGGCTGGCCCGGGTGGGCCATCAGCAGGGATGTGGGTGCTGTCAGAAGCCTGGGAAATGTTAGGAGTGGAAAGGCAAAGTAGGTAAACCTGTTCAGTCCAGGGGCAGTGCCAAAGCGGGGGAAGGATGGTAGATGCTTTCTCGAGATGAGCAAAATGAAACTTCTTGTGGGATTTTTTTAAGTCTTTATGTCACGTTGCAGGGAAAAAAACAGGCAAAAATCCCCATTAACTGGTTACCATGATGTTTGTGTGAACCGAAAGGGCAAAATAAAATGCAGAGAAGAGATTACAAACTCATCCTTCTTGCAGTTTTTTGCTGTGAGTTATTTCTCCCTGAAGCCAGGGGAGGCTCAGTGTGGGCTGGAGCCTGCCCAGCTTTGTTGTGCCGAGCTCAGTGTCTGCTCCTGTGCTGACTTGGGCATGTGCCTGGCAGAGGGGTGGGAATGACACTGAAAAGCAGGACAGCAGCATCTCTGTAGCCTCTCGTGCTTTCAGAGACCCAGAGAGGCTGTTGTGGGAGCTGCTGCTCCCTGAGCCATCCCAGAGATCTCAGCAGCTGGGATGTCTGCAGCTGGGCTGACTTGTCTTTGCTCTCAATTCTTACCCCAGGAGAGTTGCCATTGCTGAGGACTCTAATGCCAGAAACCTAACCTGCTGCCAAACAGCCATGAGAGAGAGGAGGTAGCTGCTCCAGCGCCGGAGAGAAACTGGTTTCAATGGATACAAAATACAAGGACGATCTGTTCAGGAAGTATGTGCAGTTCCACGAGTGCAAACTGAACGCCTCGGACAACAAGCAGCGTCCCATCAACGATGAGTACCTGCGTGTGGCAGCTGCAGCCCTGCTCTGCCTGCCCAAGATCGATCCCTTTTATAGATTCCGGCTGATCAAGTTCTACGAGATGGCCGAGAACTCGCTGAGAGCTGTGAAATCCTCCAGTTTACATTCTCTCCATAACGCATTCAACATGCTCGAGACGGTTGGGATTAATCTCTTTCTTTACCCCTGGAAAAAGGAGTTCAAGAATATTAAGGTAAGATGTTTTCTGTGTAGTCATAGTGAGAACATGATTTGGTTTTCTTTCTGTCAATTTTGTGCATTTCCTTTAAAGACTTCTTTTTTCTTTCATTCATTAGCATGAGAGATCTGTTTGCTATACACAATTGGTAAACAAGCCATAGGAAAGTTTCTCTGTAGGCAAGTGAATCTTGTGCTGGTGAGAGTATCCCAAGAGCAGAAGTACAAGTGCTGTCTGCAGTGCTAATGTGTATAGAATAGAAGAGCTCATTTAAGGTTGTTGCTCAGCCTGCCCTGCTACAGTGTCTTATTTCTACCTGGAAATGCTCTCACTAAAGTGAGTGGTTGAGTTGGGTTTAACTCAGAGTTTGATTTCTGTTACTGGATACAAGTACTAAACCCAGTGCATGTGTTCGAGTGGCTTTGCTGAGGTTCCCACAATTTGTGTGATAATAGTAAAGGATCTGCTCCAAAGAATTGTTTTCAGAATTTCTGTAATCTGCTTGTCAGTTCTCAGCGTGGAGTTTTGATTTTAATGTGCTTTCAGGGTCTCAGAGGGAAGAGTGGGAACTCCATCCTGCTGGGCTTGGGTGCTGGAAGTGACACAGGGAGTTGTCAGCTCTTGGGTTTTCTGTATTATCTCTCACCCATTCTTGCTGCAGCATGTAACGAGTGCTGCACCTGACTCAGAGGAACAGTTTTGAGACCTGAGAGCTGGGTAGACACACTGCTGGGGTCAGTGTCTGTAGTCAAGGCAGCTGCATGTGCTGGTAATGGGTGTTCTGTTTGTTTCCCTTAGAAGAACACTGTTTAGCAGAGAACTGTTTCCCCAAGGGGAAACTGACTTTCTTCAAGATCTCCATAAATCTTCTTCATTACACTTGAGTTCTGGCCTTTGACAGGCTGATTGATCCATGGAGGGTATCTCCTGATACTGTCTGGCTGTGCCCCTGGATCCAGCACTGTTCTGTGCTGGGCAGGCTGCTCTGCCTGCAGTCCAGGCCCGGGTTAAACACGTACCTCATGTGCCAATGCTGAGGGTATTTCAGCATGCAGAAAAAACCCTCCTGTCTCTGCTTGTGAGTTAATATGAAATCAAACTGGCATTTGAAACTGTATAGTAACAGTACCCAAAAAAGTGAGCACCTCAAGTGTATTTAAAGCTGAACTGAAGGGGAGTTTGGCACTCCCACAGAAATTCCTGTGTTTTTCAGCTGCCCCACCCTGGGGCAGCTCTGAAATCCTGCCTCTGCCTTTCCTGGTAGACTTCCTGCAGATGCAGACGTGTCCGGTGCGCACGAAAGCTAATGCAGAGCGGAGCGATTTAAATCACCAGGGAGGACATTATGCTAATCAGGATTTTAATTTGAATGAAAACTCTCCTACTTTGAATTTGCCTCATGTGGAATTTCCATCTGCTGAGCAGGAGGGATGCAGACACCGAGCTCTTCTTGCCAAGGGAGTTGCATGTGTTCACTGTGGTTATTATTCTCTTTAATTATATAGTCTCTGTCACTGAATTATCTGACCATCCAGTCCACCACTGAATTTGTAACCTAGTTTTCCTTTTATTCCCCCCTCCCCCTCAGACCTACACTGGACCCTTTGTTTATTATGTAAAGTCTTCTCTAACCGAAGATGATGTCAGGCAGATTCTGAACTACATGGGCTATGTCCCAGAACTGGGAACAATGTATAAGCTCAAAGAGCAGGTTGATGCCATTCAAGTGAAAATGATTTCATTTGAACTCTTTCTGGCCAAAGTGGAGTGTGAGCAGCTCCTTGAAATCCACTTGCAAGTGAAGGACAAAGGGTATTCGGAGATCGACGTGATCCACGAGCGGAAGAGCAGCACGGAGGACGTCAGGGGCTGCGCGGAGGCCATGAAACGCCGCGTGGAGGTCAAGGAGAGCCTCAACACCTCCATGGCGCGGATGGTGCTCCAGAAATCGGCCAGCGAACGCGCCTCCAAGGACTACTTCAAGCCAAAGGTGAGCAAGCCTTCCAAGTCGGTGGACACCTATGATAGTTACTGGGAGACCAAGAAGCCGCCTCTGATGAGCTCCCTGAGCCTCAGGAAGGAGCCGATTCTGGTTGATGCAGAAGATGACATTAAAGATGAGATTATCCGCCCGTCGCCCTCCCTGCTGACCATGTCCAGCTCCCCACACGGGTGTTCTGATGAGTACTTGCCAACTTCATCTCACCACAATGGCATGCTAAGAACAAATGTCCCTTACAGCTCCTATTTTTCTGCTCAAGAGGACTTAGATTTATATACTGATCACGATTCTAGAAGCATGTTGAATTTTAAAAGACAAGAGTCTATTAAGCCTGACGTATGGGTGTTAAAGAGTGATGCCAACCCCGTTTACCCCAAACGCACCCACCTAGCCAAAGAGACAGCTGCCAAGTGCCAGAGCTGTGGCATACCTTGTGGCACCTCTGTTTGCCAAAAGTGTGACAATCTGTTCAACTCGCGGCAGGAATACCCAGCGGTGAAGCAGAGCACCTACTCCATCAAACCCCTCCCCAGCGACGGCTTGTCTCCCGCGGCTGCGCTGAGGGAGAAATCTCAGTACACGTCTCAGACTCAGAGTCAAGACAGAGCTGCTCAGTTCAGCTCCAAATCCAAACCCTCGGGCACCTCGCGCTGCGGCTTCTGTAACCGCTCCGGAGCTGCCAACACGTGCACCTTCTGCTCCAAAGTCTCCTGTGACACTTGCCTCAATGCTTACTATTACGATCCCTGCTGTAGGAAGAGTGAGCTCCACAGGTTCCTGCCCAACAACCAATTAAACTATAAGTCATCCCAGCTGTCCCATGTGGTTTACAGATAGACTCGATCAGGCTGGGAAGGGAAGGAAAAGGGGAGGGGAAAGGGCTATCCTAACTAATGTTCTGACTCCACACTGACCTCTTACCAAAATCACATGTCCAAATACTTGGAACCATGGTTCAATGATCAGGTGCCAGTTCTTGGTTTTTGTGGCTTCACAGATGCTGCAGATCCATTAGATTTCATGCTGCTATAATTTAGGTGACTCCTAAATGGTCATTGCTTTTCAATTTCGGTGGGGGAGAAGAGCACATTTTTCCTTAAAACCTGGCATCTGTTGTATCTTAAAAAAGTGACATCAAAGCTTTCTATTCCATGCCAGTCATCTCCTTGCCCAAATAGAACCAGGCAGGGCTTGAAAAGAAAGTCAGAGAACGAAGCTCCTCACGTGCTGTGAGTGGTGACTCCACTGCTGGTTTTTGGTAAGGTATGGCTCCAAAATGTGCAGGAAATATGTGAATGGCTTGTTTTGCCAACAAGGACTACTTTGTGTGTCTGCATTTCTTGATCTCCCAAATGCAAGCACCACAGCTTCTCTTCCTCTTGTCTTTATGTTTCTTCCTTCTCCCCTGCTCTCCTGGTTGTTTATCTCGGGCTGATATGATCTGAATCTGGACAATCTGTGCTTTATTTTCCCGTGTTGCCAATGTCATCCCTCTGGGTTCCACTCATGGTATTGTAGAGAGGTGAACCCGTGTCCATGTCACTCAGATGATGCCTGGAGTGTTGTCCTCTCAGATGAGTATCCATTTTCTTTACTTTCTGTTGCACATGTATTAAGTACTGTTCTTTGTACTGTAAATAGGTGATTTGGAAACAGTTTATTTTTAATAAATATTTAATATGTTGAGTTCTTAAAAGTAGTAGAATCATTATAACTATGAAGTCTCTCTGGGTTATTTGTTCAGGTGACCTTTGTTTTCCCTTGTACTGTATTTCATAGCTTATTATAGCCACTGTGGCAGACTGATGTTCTTGGCTCTGATCAATCCTTGGTTTTTAATCTGGTGTTTTTTTCCCTCTGATAAGGCTGCCACTAGTCTGAGTGGGGCCTTGTCTCAGAATTGCAGGATTTTGCTTCTCAGTGCACGCTTTTTTTTGTGGTCATGGAAATTGTAAGTATCAATGTTCTGCTTGCTTCCAAAATCACTGCCAAGTCTGTAGTGTAGTCCAGCAAGTAAAGCACTGGCCTGGTTAAAAATCAGAGCTCATTTGTGACTCCTGTTCAAGTGAACCCATCAGTTATGGATGTGAATCAGATAATAACCCTTGTCTATTGCTGCAGCACTCGGGAACCGTGGGTGAGCACCAGGACTCCCCCGTGCTGGGCTCTGTACAGTCTGACCCCCAAACAACACTGGTTATGAATAGACTTTAGTTTGTTATTCAGAGGAAACCCATAAGGATCCTAATTCCCTTACTCCAACTAGCTAGTTAGCACAAAGTATCAGGCACCCTAACCTGATGTGCAGAATTCAATGTGTTTGAAATATCTGTAAAGAACTCTAGCTGAGATGTAAACTCTGTAGTCCACTTTGCACTGAAACAATTCACTTAGGGGTTTTTAAACACTGTTAGAGTCTAGGCTTCTCCACTTCCACATCCATCACCCTGTGTGACAGCAACATGCATGAGTGACTGTTTGTCTCACATCTGTTTGGGGGGAGGGCGTCAGTAGGTAGAGGGGGAAATTATATAGGCTAACATTGTAAAATAGCTACAATCACTTTAGCCATAAATGGGTGTCAGAAGCATTATGGAGACAGGATGAAATCTGGGTCTGACAGAGGGCTGAGGACAACGAGTTACTGCCCAGTTTGCACTAAAACAAAGTGAACAGTGTGTTTAACTATCAGGGAAATTCTGAACCAAGGGACTGCAACTGAACTCAAAGACGTGGGCAAGGACTGCCTTGCTGACCCTGAAGGTTGGGTGACTATTGTTTGGGTGAATGATTTTAAGGTTTTCAAATCTTGTATGTTTTTTATAAATATATATATATATATAAATATGACACAAATGTAGATACATGATGTATATAGTGAAGAATTTAAAAACAGTTTTACTATTCAAATGCAGTCTAAGGGTGGTTTCATTTTGGTGGGTGTTTGGTTCTGGTCACCTTCTGCAGTGTCCTGCCTGTTTGGCTGCTCTACAGTGTATCCTCTAGTTCACCAGTTCAGTTCCCATATGGCTCCTCACACTACAGCGAACAACTCAAACTGTGATGCCACGTAATTTTTACGGTGACCAGAGCAGGGGCTCTGCCTGCTCTGAGAGAGAAAAGTCCTCTGTATATATGTCATGGAATCCTGTAATACAAACCTGTGTTGAATTGAAGTGATACCATGCTCTATTTTTGTGTATCTTACTGTATGAGGTTGCTGTGATTGATACAGTAAAATATATGCTAATTTAAAATGCAGGTGTTTTGCATCTGATTTGTTTAAATTAATTTATGTTTGGAAGGAATTTAAAAATAAAGAGGCCTTTAAGAAAAGGCTTAACTCTTTTCTTAAAGTGGAGTGCATGTTGCTGTCTGTTCACCACTGTGTTTTTGCATGCAGCCAGGAGTCTGCACAGAGGTGCTCTCGGGGGCAGCGCGGGCAGTGGTGAGTGTTCCTTGGGCCTCCCCGGGCTGGGTGTGCTGCTTGCAGAGTGCAGAGCTTTGGAAACCCGTTTATTTTGAAGCCTTGGCAGCATGACTCAGTGTTCCATGAGAGCATGTGAGCCGATATGTCAGCAGTCTGCAGCAGACTGAGGTGGGCTGGGAGCAGGTTCCGTGTGCCATGCGGAGCTAACCTCCGTGGATTCCCAGCCTTGGCTCTCCATGGCACTTATCTAACTCGCTTCCTGCTGGAAGCTGCATCTCCCAGAAGATGTGTGATGCTACTGAGGTACATTTTGGCACTTGAATTAGGCCTTCTGGCTCCTTTTGCATCCTGCTAGCTTCAGAGCAGGATAATTTCTCAAGTTCCAAACTAGGTCATTCTTTTTTGTTTGTTCCTTGTGTTAAAGCATGTCAGGTGAATGCTGAAATGCCTGAAGTGCCTTTTCTCCAAGTCCTCTGCTCTGCTGAGGTTCCTGGAAGTGCCAGGGTGGGCTCTGAAAATCAGGCTCAGGGTAACTGAAATTGCCCTGCAGGAAATCTTACCTCGCGCTGCGATGCTTCTCGTGCTGACGTGTTTCTGGTACATATCAAACAAGCCTTCCTGCTGTCTGACTGTCTGACAGTTCTGATTACAGACCTCTAAGCTTGTTTGCTGAGTCTTTTGCTCTCAACAGAGGCTTAAAGGTTTCATACACTGCTAAGTAGTTTAGGTGTGATGGTTTGAACCGACAGCTCCTTTAAGTTATTTTTTGGAAGATGACTGTGGATTACAAGTGTCTGGTACACGTTGTTAATTATGCTGTGGGATCTTTTCAGGGGAAAAAATTGCCTTTCCTGTGTTTGTTTAGAAACAGGAGCTAGTCTGAGCATGGTGATAATTGATACCTTGCCAGAGGGACTGAGGGAAAGGCAGGAGGTGACTGCGAGTTAAGGTACATGTTGATGCACTTGCTTTGGCTCTAATTCAGTTGCTTCTCTGAGATCGTTGGAGAGAGTTAGGCCTTTTAGCATGATCATTGATGTGGTATCTAAGCTGCAACTGAGTTGGGCTACATATGTTCTGTCTGTTATTTATGAAGGATGTTCCATGCATCCTTCTGAGAATCAGGGAATGTGACTGTGTTTGTCTAGGACTGCAAGTCTGTAAATGCCTTACAGCTCCTGTAAAACATTAAGTATAACTAACACTGCAGTTACTTTTAAGTACTTTTCTGCAGTTGATCATATTCCCCTAGAAAAGATTTTCTGTAGCTTGTCTTGCCAGTCTGAAAACGTAGGGGCAGGGAATCAGTAATTAAGTAGCTTTGTGGTTTTGTACTCCTACACCCCTGCTGTGAAGAACAGATTCTGAGGGCAGCCGTGTGCATCGAGCCCCCGTGTGAGCGAGCAGGGCCAGCACAGCTCCCTGCTCGGCGCCTGGAGGATGGCACAGGGTTAGAGCATGTGATACGGCAGCAGCTCTTACCTCCAGATCCTGCAGACATGCCACGTAACTGAAGCTCCTCCATCTGAGGAGAGGTGTAGGGGAGCCAGGGAGCAGCTGCTGTGTTTGACAGGCTTACTGTACAGATTTCCATGTGCTAATGTGTGCAAAGCAGGGCTGGTCCTCCTGGCAGGAGAGCAGCCCAGCATGGTTTGTTCTGTGCTGGCTGCTCGGATCAGCCTGGAATCTACATCCCTGTGGCAGGGCAGACAGGGTGCTGGTGGGCAGCTGCCTGCAGCCAGCTCTGTGCCAGGGTCAGGAAAGGCAACTCTAATCCCAGGCTGTCTGTGCAGAGCTGTGGGGATGACTGACCTGTAACCAGGGATTTACAGCACGTAGCAGTGCCCAAAGTGGAGCAATCCGTATCATTCCTTATTTTTCCCCTCCTGCACTGCTTTTGCTGCTGTCACAGTGTGAGACAGGCTCTGAGAGCTCTGGCATTGCCAGTTGTTGCTTTTTTGGAACCAGCTGCTTTGCTGCCCCTGACTCCTGCAGAAGACAGGACCTGCTGTCGTAGGAGTCCCTGTGAGTGGGGCAGGCGCTGGCTCGCTCGGGGGCACTAGGGCTGCCAGTTGGTTCCTGCCGTCTCGTAAGGCAGAGTTGCTCCAAGCTTTTTCAAAAGCAGGCAGAATGCTTCTCCCATCTGGGCTGTGTTGCCACAGATGCCTCTGGAGAGCTGGATTTGCTGTTCCCTTACCCTGAGGACCAGCAGGGTCAGAGGTTTTGGTTGGTGCTGGTCCACACTGCAGTCAGCTGCCCCTGCTCCCTGTGCCCTCCCAGCTGGCAGCAGCAGCTCTGGCTCTCTGCTGCTGTGGCAGAGCAAAGGGGCTATGAAAATCATCTTGACACCCAGCAGCTTCCTGTGTCACCTGTGCTTAAAGCCAGGCAAGGACTTACAGTGAAGCTG